TGTGCATTTGCATGCACTTCCTTTTTTTAAAAGGAGTTTCAATGGAGCAAAGAACAACTAATCACAGGTAAAGCTTACTTTGTGTCACTTGAGGGTCTGCAAAATTCTGTTTGTTTTTTTTCATAACTGTACATATTGTTTCTCTAGTACAGCTGTGTACAAGCACCTTTTCCAGTGTTAAATGGCCTAACTTTAACCTGCTTAATTTCAGCATATCTGTCACTACGGGTTGACATTCAAGCTGACAGGATGCATGTTCCCTCCATCAGGGTGCAATCTAATACAGGATGTTTTCATTACAAAGCCTCAGGGTCCTGATCAGAGAGTAGTGATGGCTGTTAAAGACAGAAGGTAGACCAACTCCAGACCTACCCACCAAACAAAAATAGACAAGCATATTTCCTACAGTCAGGCTATCTAGTTCCCTACAAGCAACTAAGGATCCCAGACAATGGTGAGGTGCCTTCTAGGGCATAACCACCTTCATAAAAGTTTTTCAAGTCAGAAGGTTTGAGAGAGCTTGATGTAGGGTCCTATACCAAAGCAGAAAACATCCAAGAGAACTAAACAAAACACTGCATCCATGAAGTAATAAAAGCTGTGAAGTATTCGTGCTTGGGTTTTGGCAGGGGAGGGGTTGCTTTCTAAGAAATTCAATATTTACTGCTCCAGCCAAGTTATCCTCTCAACAGCTTTACATATTTGATGGTTCATGCTCCTGTGTATGTTTCAGATCAAGACTGAACCCTTCCAAGCATCTGAATGAGACTCACATGTGGACTGTATGTGGATGTAACCCACACACAGCCTGGATGTTGGATTACACACTCATACACATTTTTATCTGCCTGAAAGTTAACAGCACTTCACAAGTGCTACACTCTAAACAGGAAAATCTTTAAGATCATTGCCTCAAAAATGATAAATTTGCCTTATTTGAATGGAGAAAGCACCCTTTACCCAAGCAAGTCATGAGGACTGCCTGAACTACTACTCCTTCTCCAGGCTGGTAAAAAGAGTCCTAGCACCAGGAAAAGAGAAGTGAAATTGCTGGTTTCTGCTCCTTATCCCCCAAGGCCCTGAACTTTGAAGTTCACCTGTGGAGTTCAGAGTATACTGTACTCGTAAGCATACTGCACTGGCTGTCAGTCACATCAGGATCTCAACAACATAGGGGCAGAGGGGAGATAATGATGCACACACTGTAACACATTATTTCAACATCCACAACTAGTCAGAACAATTCCTCTATGTGACTAATTAACTGAAGTAATGGATGCCATACCAATATTTACGGTGCAGGAAAAGCTGTGAATTCCCTGAAGGGATAAACAGGGTGGAGGGAAAAAACCACATACACACACCTCCATTTCATGCCATCTTGCAAAGGAGTATGAAAAATGGTTCCACGAAACACATCCAGCAGAAGGCTTACAACATGAAAACATCTTCAGAAACAGCCTGCAAAGTAATCCCTTCTTTATTAAACCCAAGTCTAAAATTTTGCCAATAACCTGTTACTGACAAATGTTGCTGTGCAAGGAGTTTCTGAAGCTTCAGTGCCTGAATCAACAGCTTCGAGCAAGAAAAAAAACCTGCTCAAGACTACTGAACATAAACTGTGTAAGTGATCAGAATCCATTCTTCAAAGCTACTTGAATTCTTCTGCCATTTTTGTCTTAAAGTTGCACTTCAAATTTAATTGCATCGTTTGTTTGTTAACAATTTTAGACAAGCACTAAGCTGGAAGTTTTATAGCAGGAGGCAAAGTAAAAAAAAAAAAAAAAGGTAGGTGGGTGAAGAAGACAGCTCTATTGTTCTAGCTGTTCCTCAGCCTCTCCCACTGCCAGATTTCTGTAGATTATGTATCCCCAAGGTAGTAATTTTTAAAACTTTTTGGCAATATCCCAAGCTCCTCTTGCAAATCAGAGATCAGACTAATAATATTAAAAAAGGAGGGGAAATCAAAATAAATGAGATAACTTTATCAAAGAGTGGAAGCCAGTGAACTCTGGTACTACAGCTTTACTGAAGAGCCACTCCTCCAAATTTTAGACTAAAATTTTAGCATGTAAAATTAAAAAAATCAGTATAACAAAGCCCAGGCAAAAAAACACCTTTCAAGATACTACATGCCTTACAGCTATTGCTAGCTCAGGACACTGCAACATCACACAGACATCAAGAAAACCTCCCTCAAGGGGTTTATACATTAATACATTAGTCTCCTTAAGTAAGGACATTATTCAGATGAGGTTCAGTAAGAAGTCAACATAGACAGATGCTTCCATTAGAGTTGGATTTCTCAGTCTTAAATATCTAAGCTAGAACTACTGAAGTCCTTCACTCATGGCCAGCACCAAGGCAAATTTGTTTCATAAGTGAAGGACATGTTTTCTGACTCCATTTAACCTTGTCCTTTCCCAGCATAGTCAATAAAGGAATGTTAATTTCATTCTTTTTCCTACGCAAAATCAAAGTCATAGAAAAAGACTGTGTCCATATTGCTGTTTCTTCTCTGCAAACTTGAGAAGGGAAAATATTATTAGAGAATAATTTTGAAACTACTCCAAGGAGTTGAAAGCTAACCCAGGAACTCAATCTACTTCCAAAAAGCCTTGTGCTAAACTACCATTACAATTAAGCCTCTCGTTGCAGAGTGTTATGTACAGTTGTGACAAAGATGCCACAATCCCCATCAGGCTATACGTCCAGAGCTCAAGATGTAACTGCAACATTCAGAAGGTCCTTCTTTCCATAAGTGCATCCACAGATGGCAATATAGAGACTGTTTTTAAAAGAACAATTACTCCAAAGCGTTATTTTTAGAATCGAGGGTGGGCAGGCAGAGTATTCAAGTAAACCTTCCAAAAATCAGGCAGCCACCCACTAAACGGCAGTGGCACCACTGAAATGAGTTACAGGCTGTTTTGCAACAGCTGCAGAAAAAAAAAAAACAGCGGAAAGACAGACCAAAGACCTCGAGTCCTTTAAAATGCTGGAGGCAATGGTAGGAGAAAGAGCAGCAGACTCAGTATCGTATGCTAGGGACACTGTGGTAATTTACCTGCAAGAGGTAGGTCAAACAGGCCTTTCTTAGGACTTAAAGAGCTAGAACAACAATATCCGGCAGCTGCAAGTTAGGAATGTGCTTGTTCCAACAGAGAAAAACCCAAGCAGGCTGGGCTTAGGGACCTGCACTGGATTATCAAACTCGCCTCTTATTTCAAGTAGCTACACTAGAAACTGACAAAATAAACATGTGAGTTAAGTTACCTTTACTTCCTCATGCAGATAACGTATAAAGTTTGAGGTGCTAATGTTACTGAAATCTCCTAAGGTAGAGCTCATGATTTTGTTAAGACTGTATTAAACAGTCAACACAGAGGAGAAGGAAGGTTAATTTTCCCTTTGATCTTGTAAGAGAAGAGTTCCAAACACTCTTGTTTTTATGGCATTGGCTGCATCTGTTTAGAAGGACCTTTCTACATTCAACAGGACCCAGAAAAGACCAAACAGCCCAACTCGGCAGCCAGAACCCAAGTGCCTCTGAGGGCATTTCTTGGTTGTACCACTTCTTAAAAACCCTAATTGCAGTGAAACCCCTAAGTTCAAACCGGGACCAGTTCTTAACCCGAGGTACACGGCCAGGCTGGGAGGCCCCGGGCAGCACAGAAAGCTGGGAATTCTATGCGCACCTGAGCCAGCAGGTTTGTTCCCAGCAGCAGCTTCCCAAGCAGCACAGACCC